TAATGCATCATTGAAATGTAAAGGGAATAGCAGTGACAGGAAAGGTTCCAAGGACTGTCTTTGCATCAAGTCCAGTCCACACTGCCTTGCCTTGAGGATCTGTGCAGACTTTGAGGTGGTCAACACTGAGGAATCCTGGAACTTGACTCTCTTTGGCAAGGTCACTTGTGTGTCTTTACTCTCAATTATCCTAATTCCCCAAAACCTCTAATAACTGAAACCTTACCTTCACTATCACAGATTCATTGTCTGTATTTGCATAGGAAGGAGGCAATAGTTCATTTTATTTAATACCAAGGGTGCTAATATTAGACACTACATTTTAGTCATGTTGTTAGTTACACATGATCAGAGGTTGCAATTTATTTCTTATTATATAGTCTTAACAGAGGACATTCAAAATCAAGTAAGACGATATACCTTTTCCTTACTTTTTTTTAACTGATCCTTTCACCCTTTTAAATTTTAAGATAATATATAAATTTAAGACAATAAATAGATTAAAAGATGAAGGGCTTAGAATCAAGGAAGCATCTTTCCCCCTAGGATACTTGTGGTATTTCTCTTCCATAATGTTACTTCCATTAGATTCAAATTCTGGAATATTCTTAGGAAATGAAGACTTGGGGGAGAGAGAGAGAGAGAGAGAAAGAGAGAGAGAGAGAGAGATGGAGAGACAGAGGGAACAATGACAATTTAAAAACTTGAAAAATCCTTCACATTATTAAATTTATTGCTTTTTTGATTAGTTTTGAATATACTTGCCTATTTCACATGTAGATAGAAATAAAAATACTTCTATTAACCAATGAAAACTTAAATATTTGCAGGTATATGGATTTGGTAGTTTACAAAAGTGAACTACCAAGGAGAATTGTTTCTTGCTTTCCATTTTCTAATGATCATGTAAGAATAATCTTTCTAAAACAATGAGAAAACACAGGTATTACAAACTGACCTGTATTTTCTCTCCATAAGGTAGTATTTGTGTGATCTTATTCTAAGCTTGTATGATAAAGAAGGCTATAAATATTGAAGATTGACTGCATTGAATGCATACAAAATATTAGCATACATGTTGAATGTTTTGTTTTAAAAATGTGTTTTGTACATAGCTACAGTAGGTGTAATCAAGATACTTGAATTAGTTGCTTTTAAAAATGTTTATTTTTTACACAGCAATGTATGTACAAACTTGAAAAAGTCAACTACCTTGAGAAAGATTATAACAAGAACAATCATGAAAACAGTTGGCCCCTGCCCCAACTTAATCTTTCCATGATGTACTTTTCAGAAGGCAATACTTTTAATTTTTCAGCTGTTGGCTTTCATTTTAAAATTTTTGTAGTAAGGGTCTTGTTTTTTTCATCTTTAGGTGGTGTCCACTAACTTTTAAGAATGAAAGATAAACATTCAGTAGAGCATACTGTTACCACACATAACATCAGCTCTCTACTCTCCCAATATAGTCATAATTTTTCCTTAGAGGAATATCAGACACACTTATATGACTGTTGAAATACTGCTCAGAGTTGAGTAATGTGGTGTATAATCTTTATAATTTTATTTATATTTTTGTTTCTTAGGGATTTAATCATTTGCAACTTGTTCTTTGCTTAGTTTTCTTTGCTTACCTCTAGATACTAGTTTTTCCAACACCAAAGCAGAACTACAAAGCATTTCTCAGTGTAGTCAAGCACATCAGGGAGTAAATTATCAGGCTGGTACAGACTGTGGTATGGTAAGAACATTCTCAAATCCTCAGTGGTTTCCCTCTGCAGAATTATTCAGAACTCCTTCCTGCCCTGAGCCACTGTCAAGCTTCAGTCTGGACTCAAAGCTTGTGAGGCTTGTCTTCACTTCTGCTGTGTTGAGCTGGGGCTTCCATTCATTTTGATTCTTCTGATCATCATTTGTACTGCTGAAACATCTATCCATCTTAATTTCATCACATTACTTTCAAGTGAATCTTCTATTTCCTGAATTTATTGACTGTTGGTGAGGCATATTTTGAAGAAATTTTTTAGACACATTTTTTTAGAGGAAAATTTTTGAGCTTATAGCAGATGTAAAAAACCCTTTATCTTTCTGTGACTGAAAATTTCTACAATAGACAATAATTTTCCCTCAGAGTTTAGAAGAAATTTGTCTTTGTTTTTTCCCAAATGTGATGAAAGGTGTGAAGTGGTGCATAAGCATAGAATTGAGCTGGAAGAGAGAAGGGCGGACTAATCCATGTAAGGACCCCATTTGGTAATGGTACTAATCCACTTACAAGGGCAGAGCCCTTAATGATCTAGTCAAAGCCCCACCACTTAGCATGGTTGTATGGAGGACTACATTCCTAACACATAATTTCTGTGGAATGTACCCAGACCACAGTAGTTGTGTTCTATTATGTGTTATATTTTACATTTCTGTAAGGAGGACCAGGAACATTTGATCATTTACTTCCTTCAAGTCAATGAAAATTGTATCTGTAGTATTCTGATATCTCATAATGACCTAAGTTAATGTAGATCTGTTTTTTTCCTTCACTTATTTACCACTGCAATGCCAAAAAGTAACTGACTGGAAACTTGTTATGAATGAGTGGAATTTGTTGCCTGTCTGTTGCATTGTAAATGATCAGAAGACAAGCTAAATGTTGATTCCTTATTGCTGACCTTTCTCTTATTCTCAGATATCAGTGTTTCTAGCGTTTTGAATCAGTTTCTCTGTATTTGAATTTGAGATCATTTGCTCCTTTTGGGTCTTGCTTTTAAAATTTATTTGGAGCACCAAAGCAATGGTTAGGCTAAGATTTTTGTCTTCCACCATTTAGACAAGTCCCTTCTGAGGAAGCTAGCCAGTATCCTGGGCATCCTGAGGTTTTGTAAGCTTGTTGGTTCTGAAAGACATGATTTCTGGCTAGGTAGCAGGGACAGGTCCCCTTTGCACTGGGTCTTTTTTCCTAGCCTCCATCATACAGTGATCAGCTTAGTGCTTAGGTTGTTCTGCTGATCTCTGGAGTTTATTCTGTGTGCAGCTAGCTCCTCTCTGGTTCTATGTTTAGCTGTTTTGATCTTTTCAGACTCACAGATCTGTCTTCCCAATTCACAGTATCTGTGAGGCTTCTCTGGGTTTTTCCACTGAGTGAGAAAAAAAAAAGTAAGAATAACCAACCTAAGGCAATTGTAAAGTTCACCTCATTTGTTTCTCCTTCCCTCCAAGGAATTATCACCCTTTGTTGTCTGATGTGCAGTATTTGGAAGCTGTTTTGTGTTTATATAATATCAGTTCTGTTTGTTTTGGTGGGGTGGCCAATCCAGTGGCTGGCATTTTAGCCAGAAATAAGAACTATGGTTTGGATGTTGACTTTTAACTGACTGTTACTGTACATCCTCACTATAGGAAATCTACATTTTCGTAAACAGTTAATACAGTGGAAGAAATCTGTTAATATAGTCATATAAAAATGACAAAATTCCTTTGAGAATTTTTTTCTAGGTAGTATATCATGAAATGTTTTTAGGTGAGTATCAACTATAATTTATTGGTGCAAAGATAGAAAAATTGATCACTTTTTTGAGAAAAATTTGCTGGGAAAGAAGAGTTTAATAAATATTGTATTCAGCACATAAGAAAGTACAGGAAAGATGGAAGGGAAAATGTTACTAATTGTGTTGATTGGTGTATGAATTGACATGTAGCAGTCTTTAAAAATGAACTTTAAAACCAGTGGTGCCTAGTGATTAAAAAGTGGTAATTAATTGCATTCCATAAATATACACATTTAAATGTGGCCAAAAGTAAGTTTTATTTCAATGGGATAGGTTTGTGTAGATAAGTAAAAATAATGCAAAGGTTTGAAGAACGTAGCAACATTTTCTATCTACTTGATAATTATGAGATATAAATGCTTTTTCATGCTTTGACCATGAGATGTTTTTGGAATTGCATACTAAAAATAATGTGGAAAATTTTCACATAAGTACGTGTATGACAATGTCTGTTTTACTCTGAAGTGTGCTACTAATTAGAACTTCTAATGCGTTTTGCTTGGAATGTTTTCTACACAATATAGGTCCTTCAGGAGACAGTAGATTAAAATTTTAAAGCAGTGCTCATTCAGATTCGTGTGATATCATTGCTTGTGTGTTTCCTTGGATAATGAGTTTAATATCTCTGTATCTTTGCTTGGTAGCAAAGCCAAGCAAACTGGCTTTTGAATCAGATATATTTGTGTTTATATTGCTTTTTTTTGTACCTAGTAGCATTGAGTTAATTAATCTTAGGAGCTTTCATTTCTCCCATTTTAAACTGAGTATAACTTTACCCATTTTGCATTGGTGAAATTAGATTTTTTAAAGAAGGTATATAAGAAATATATTGTCTGCCTTTATGAATGTTTGCTAACATAATTAAAATCCTTTCCTCAATTTAAACTAACAATATAAAATAATGATCTTAGGCTATACATAAATAACCACTTAAAAATATTGAAACAGCTTACATAGTTAATAATAATGTGATTTTTGTAGTAGTTATAGCAAAATAATCTGTAGGCACCATAACTGTCCATGTTAGCTATACCAATAAACTTTTTAACAACATCTCAACAATGGCTGACATTCTTCCTGAGTAAGATTTGCTGGAGTCAAGGGGTTTATTTTAGTGCTATGGACATTTTATTACGGCTTATCCTCCAAAAAACTATAGAATGTCATGAAGTACATTATCTCAAGAGTATTGTTAAGATAAAGGGAAAAAATAAACTAGACATGGTTGAATTATTCACGGACGCATACCACGTATCAAATTCAGAAATTAAAAGAAATTAAGATAGCATTTAATTACAGGGACATCAGTCATTGTTGACTAATTTAAAGAATTTTGAAATACCTCTTTTGATTACTGTCAATGACACAGTCAGTTAATCTAGGAAAACAGCAAGTTTTACTTTTGAAGCTTCCCATTTTTTAAAAAATCTTTGTGATTCAAAAATTCCTCTATTTTAGGTCTCTCCAAAATGAACATGGTGAAAATCACTTAGTACATAAATTGATGTCATTCATTATCAGTGTTGTGTCTGAAATGATGGAAGACAAAACATCATGTTACTTGTTGAAAACTCTGGGAAGAAAACTTGGGAGAGGCATAAAAAGGTATCCTTGTACAACTTTCCTTTACCTAGCTGGATGTGGTGGCACACACCTGTAATCCCAGAATTGAAGACTGAGGCAGGAGGATCTAAGTTCCAGTTTAGTTTTTGCAGTGTAGCAAATTAGTAAGACTCTGTCTCAAAACAAACAGTAAAAAATAAAAAAGGTCTGAGAATGTGGTTTAGTGCAATGGCCTTAGGTTTAATCCCTAGTACTGTGGAGACAAACAAATAAAGAATAATAGCCTCAAAAACTGTTTTCTTCACCTGATGTCAATTTTTAAAAAGAAAGACTTTGTTTGCTTTTTATTTTAACATTCATTAATTGCAAGCAATACAAATAGAACTGCACATAAATCATATATATTTTGTGTATTTATCATAGTTGCAAAGTTCTAGATTGCCTAAAATAACATTTTGATCCAAAAATTGTGCAATTATTAAGAAGACATTATTAGGTGATTATTTATGTCACAGAAACCACTTGTAATTTTTTCACATATTTCATTTTAGTTTTATGTGTCATAAGTATGATGTTATGAAATAAGAATTTTGTTCTAAAGTAGAGAAAGTACTGAAATACATAGAGACAACCTGGGTTCTAAGTTTTTGAGTGTGCCATTGGTGCCTATGTCCTACTTAGTTGTCATAACTACATTCCTTCTTTTTACTTTTGCATTATTATTCTTATAGTTGTTTTAATAAGGGAGATCAAATCCAGAATCACATACAATCTAAGCAAGCACTCTAACACTGGTCTGCATTCCAGTTCTAAATTATTTTGTTTTAAAATGAAACTTTACTGTCATAGACTTGTTGTGAAAATCACATTAGATAGTATCTTTGAAAGTGATTGGTAAAGATCTTCAAAAATATATCAATTACTGGGTATGAAGGTAAACTCCTAAATTAATATAAAACATGATTTCATGTATTAATTTTCATAGACAGCATACTTCATACTTATGTTTTATACTTTAAAATAGCTTTCCTTAGTTATTTATTATTTTTAATATCTCCAGATTAAATAATACTAGTATTAATAGCTGATACTCAGAAAAAGTAATTGATTTATTCAGGACTGGGTAAATGAAACATCTAAGATTTAAATGAAGGTTAACCATGTTGTACTCTTCCACTGACACCAAATTTTGTGAATTTAGCTAATCTTTCCTTATTTTGAAAGGCTGTCTTCATATGTGTTACAACTAGTATCTTCTGTTGGTCAGGTATTATTGTAAGTGAATTCATACTTTTAACATTTTACAGTTCTCAAAGTGACTGGGAAAATAAACAGAAATGTTTTTGCATGCTTTGGCAAAGGTATGATGTGGCACAATAAAAAGCATGGGCTGGGGGTGGATGAGATGTTCCAATATGTCAGGTTGGTCTTCTTGGTAGGAACTGTAGAAAGAATAATGTGTGGAAAGGTTCAGGATTATAAGGAGCATGCAGAATTTACACAAATCACAAACTAAGGGCTCAGTTTGGATATTGTCAGGAGATAACGTTGTAACATTGTGAAGCCTTCTGATCCAGAAAACACTCTATATTTCTCTCAAGTTTCTGGACTTTTTATTGCAATTCTATGAAGGAGAGAGAATATTGAATGATGTTAAGCCATGAAGTGACTAGCTTAGGTGGCTGTTTTGGGTATATCCTTCTTCTGCTTTTATTAAATCTTAGCTTGATTTGGGAGAACATTTGGAGGGTTAAGAATTACTGGGATATGAGATGTGTACAAAATGCATATAATTTCTGGCTCAAATTTCGTTTGAAAGATTCTTTATAATAAATGAACTATTTCTTATAGATAAAAAACATTTATCCAACTATGTCATTGCACATTGGTCTTTTTTCTTGGGTAGTATTTGTCCTGGTAACAATGTATATATGCCTGCATGATTGTGTGTGCCTGTGTGTATATGGTGAATTGTGTATGAAATAATTATACAGATTGAAAGTCCTCTATGCAAGATAAGGAATCAGAAATGTTTCAGATTTTTGATTATTTTAGATTTGGCAATATTTGCACATATATAAAGAAATATGGAGAAGAGATGTAAGTTGAAACACAAAATTCACTTCTTTGTTATATACCTATTAATCATGTAGCCTGAAGCTTATTTTATACAGTATTTTATCATACCTCATTTTTGACAGAAATTGCTTATTTGAGGTAAGTTTTGAAATTTTCTACTTGTGGTGTCATTTATTCAAGTTTTTGGATTTTTGAGGATTTCTAATTTTCATATTAGTAACTCTCAACCAGTATTATTGTTAGAAGTTGTATGAAACAAAACACAAAGTTGAAAGAGACGTGAGAACATTTTAGGTCTCTGGTAAGATTCAAAACTCCTAGATTTTTAAAAATCTGAGGAATACTTCAGACATTAGTGAAAGGATGATATGAAAGAATGATTTCGGTCTTGCAGGCACAATTATTGTTTGGCCATGTTACATGAATTCAAGGAAGAACTGTTGCTATGTAATGAATGATAATGACCTTAGCCCTCCCAACTGGGAATAAAATGTATTTCAACAACTGTCGTAAGTTATGCTAACTGCTGTGACAAAAATTTGTACACAAAAAAAGTTACTCAGACCAGAGCAAGATTTTCAGCCTATTGAATTGAAGGAAATGATAGAAGTTGCTGAAGTCTAGAGCTTGATCCCTTAATTCTGTACTTCTTGAGCATGACCTTTCTTGTTGGGACATTCAAAAGGTGTCAATGCTTTATAAAAAGTGGAGATGGGATTAGTGAGACCTGAGAAACAATTTTCATGTTGGTAGATTGAGAAGGCTCAAGATGGTAAAGAATCTGTTTTCCCTAAGGTTAAGGCAATTCCTACCGTGTTTTAGCAAGTTTTTTTTTTTTTTTCCAGAAATTGACAAGTTTATTCTAAAATTTCTATGGAGTGTTTCCACTCCATAGCCCAGACAATTCTGAAAAAGAGGACTAATGTTGGAGGAGTTAGTCTTCTCAATGTTAAGTCTTCTTCCTCAGCTACAGTATCTAAGAAAGTATGTTTCCAATGGAGATACAGATCCATAGCACAATGAAATTGAGTAAAAACCAGAGAAATAGACCCACACACATATGCCCGGTTAATTTTAAACTAAGGAGCAAAAGCAGTACAATGAAGGAAAAATAACCTTTTCAAAAAATGGTGCTGGAGCAAATGGATATTGAGAGCTAAAAAAAAAAAAAAAAAAAAATGGTGAGTTAAATGTCAGTTTTATAAAAACAGAAGAAAATCTTTAGGATTTGGAATAGGCAAGTAGTATCGTATATGATCACAGCTAGAAGGAAAGGATAAACTTTAATTGTGCATCATCAAAATTCAAAACTTTTGCTTTGAGAAAAGGTCCTTTAGCAAACGAAAAAAGAAAAGTTACAAGACAAAAGTTTGCAGAGAATATTTTGATGATGAGCTTGTTCCTAGGAAATTCAAAAAAGTTCCAAAACTATATATTAAAAAGAAACAACAACAACAGCAAATCTAAGTAGGATGCTATCATAAAAGTGCACAAAATTTCACCAAGGAAGCCATATAGATGGCACAGAAAAAGCCAATAGAGAAATGCAAACTAATTTCACAAAAGTATCTGTACATACGTATCAGAATGAGTGATGTAAAAAGTAGTAATACACTGTAATGTTGACAAAGATGCCAAGAAGTCAGATCACTCGCTTTTTGCTGGTGGAACTGTGAAATGATACAGCAACTATGGAAAATTTTTATTTATTTATTTATTTGTTGGTACCAGCAATTGAACTCATGACCTAGTGCTTTCCAGGCAGGTGCTGTGCCCCTGAGCTATATCCCTGGCTAAATTATTTAATAATTGTGACTTTCCATTGTTTTTTTTGCAAATAGGATCTCAGAGGGCAATTAAGGTTGGTTCTGAACTCACCATGTAGCATAGGCTGGACTTGCAGTGATCATCCTGCTTGCGCCTCCTGAATGTTAGGATTGTATCATGAGCCACCACGCTTGACTATAGTAATTGGTTTTAAAACTAAACATGGAGGGGGCTGGGGATTTAGCTCAGTGGCATAAGCGCCTGCCTTTTAAGCAGGCAGTCATGAGTTCCATCCCTGGTACTGATAAAAAGACAAAAAAGGAAAAAAAAAAGAAAAGAAAAGAAAAGAAAAACTAAACATGGATTTACTGTGTGGCCCATTTTCATGTAGACATTGTATATAAATGTTCATGACAGTTTTGATTGTTATAGTCAGTATCTGGTTAAATAAACTATTACCTCCATATTATGGAATACTAGTTAGAAATATAAATAAGTCATTCATATACCTTCCATCTTATATGAGCATGGGTGCAGTTATGCTGAGGGAGAAAACCAGTCTCAAAAGAATTTATGCTGCATGAATAAAGTTGTTCCATGTTTATGAAATAAAGCTGGAGAACACAGTGGGGTTGTCAGATGTTAGTCATATTGGTGATGATACAGCTGTGAGCAGAGAGCAGGAGAGTCTTGTCACGATACAGTTAAGTACCTTGATTGCTGTGGCAGTCACACGAAGTTGCACATGTGATAAAATTGCATAGAGATGCATAAACTCATGTGATAAAATTGCATAGAGATGCATAAACTCAGCACACAAATTCGTGCCTTTTTCACTAGTTTAATCCCAGTAAGACTGTTGGATTATACCAATTGCAATTTTTCTTATTTTGATGTTGCATTATTTTTATGTACCACACTAACACTGTGACAGAAGGGTGAGAGGTATTTAGGATATCCCTGAATCTTTGTCTTTTGTAACAATCTGTAATAAACTAGAAAATGATAATTAGAAAATGGTAAACAAATAGTAATAAAAATGCCTTCTGGGGAACAATTGTTTTTATACCTCATTCACTAAGCAAATAGCTAAAAATAAAGTTATTTCAGTCTTATGAATATTTCAACTAATTTCCTATAAAGTAACATATTCAATTGTTCCTCTCTCTTGTCCTCCCCTTCCTGCCTCCCTTCCA